GAGACAGAGTCTTTGTTAGGAAGATAATGTGAAAACATTTTTTTAAAATTCTTGTATGTTTGTTATTTTACTGTTGTCACTTCCAACGTCTGTATTTTCATTTAAAAACTAAAATGAGAGCTTGGTTTTCCTAGCACATTTTTAGTTCGCACCTACAAAAATAATCAAATTGAGGCTGGGCATGGTGGTGCATTCCTGTAATCCGAGCACTTTCAATGCCAAGGCAGGAAGATGACTGCAAATTGTATGCCAGCGCAGGCTACATAGTGAGTTCAAGGCCAGCCTGAAATATATAGCCACACCCTGTCTGAACCCCACACACACACAAAAAGATCACATTGTTTAAATTCAGCAGCATATAGTCCTCTAATACTCTTAATGATTTGGGTCCTTTTTTTTTTTTTTTTTTTGTCTTTTTTGAGACAAGGTCTCAGTATGCAGTTCAGACTGGCCTTGAGCTCACTTTGTAGTTGGGTACTATTTTAGATACTCCTACATTTCATGAATTTATGATCTTAAAAATGATATTTTATCTTCAGATTTTTTTTGTCTTTTTTTTTTTTTTTGTCTTTTTGAGACAGGGTCTCATAATGCAGTTCAGGCTGGCCTTGAGCTCACTTTGTAGCCCAGGCCGGTCTCAAACTCGCAACAATCCTCCTACCTCAGCCTCCCGAGTGCTGGGATTACAGGCATGCGCCACCATGCTCGGCTTCTTCAGATTTTTTTGTATTATTTATATTATTTTTAATTACATTTAGTTATTTCACTAAAGAGAATATTATATGCCTTATTTGTTTATATTATATTTGCACATATTTTCCAATTCTTTTTGCATGCTAAATATCTTTTTAAGATAGAGAACAAAATACTGAGAGCTTTATCATCTTGTTTCTCTTCCTTCCAAGGGAATTACCTTCAGAATTACAGGGAATTTTTGATAAAGAGGAGGTAGATGTTAAAGTTGAAGATAAGAAAAATGAAGTATGTGTGTCCACAAAGCCTGCATTCCAACCCTTCTCAGGGCAGGGGCACAGGCTGGGAAGGTAAGTATGTCCCTCACCTGTGCTCTTCATAAGCAGAGATGTGACTGATATTTCAACTATTGTTATTTCTTTTTTTTAAACTTTTGTTTTTGTTTTTTTGAGACAGGGTCTCTTTGTGTAGCCCAGGCTGGCTTTGAACTTGCAGATCTTCCTGCCTCAACTTCCTGAGTGCTGGGATAATAAGCGTGTGCCACCACACTCAGCCAGCGCAAATAAGATTTTTTAATGTTAGTTTTTATGAGGATTCTTAAGTCATATTTACCTTTGTGTGTATTAATATATGCCACCAATAATCATGGAATTTTTTTTTTTTAATCAGACAGAAAGGCCTGGCCTATCAATATCAAAGTCTTATATTGGTTTCTTGAGACGCGGTCTCACTATGTAGTTCAGGTTGCTGTTGCATTTACTGTGTAGCCCAGGCTGGCCTCACACTGGTGATCCTCCTACCTCGGCCTCCTGAGTGCTGGGATTACAGCCGTGTACCACTATCGCAGCTCAAAACCTTTATTTTCATGTTTTTCCATCTTCATACCTAACAGTGCCTTATGACAGAATATGGGGATATGGGATCACTTTGCTTTTTATGAATCTCATATTTTAGTTGTCAAAGTTGGCAAGGTTCATACATATTCATCCATGTATACAAAAATATTGGCATGTGTCTTTCAAAATATTTGGTTCCCTTTCTTTATAACCCAACAGCTAATCATTATATAGAGAGCTTGTAATTTCTTTTGGAAATTTTCCTTGGGCATTAAGTAAAGCTAAAAGTGTGCAGATCTTTCAACCATTATAAAATTATTCCATAAAGCACTATTCAAATAATACTAGAAACAGTTTATTTACTCTCTTAAGTTTACAAGTTAGTTGAATATGCATAATTTTGTTAGATACTTAGAACCATTATATATTATGGACATAACAAATATTTTTGTGTTATTATTGAGGAAATAGTTGTGATGTACAAAAATCTTCTTAAAAGCTATATTTAGTATAAAATTTTTACAATAATGGTAAAAAAATGTGTCTGACTTTATTGTCTGGATTTCCTAGTGCCACCCCCAAAATTGTTTCCAAAACAAAGACTGTTGAAGTTGAAAGTAAAAATAATTTGTCTGCTGTTTCACTGAATAACTTGGAGCCCATCACTAATATACAGATATGGCTAGCCAACGGGAAAAGAATCATCCAGAAATTTAATGTTTCTCATAGGTAAGTCCTCTGTTTCAGTATTTTCTGATACTTTCCAAGTTTAAATATTGTTTCTTTTAAGTTTATTCAGTAGTAGTTCTTAAGAATGAATGAGGGCCGGGGATATAGCTTAGCAGCGCAAGTGCTTGCCTGGTAAGCGCAAGGTCCTGAGTTTGATTCTTGGTACCAAAAAAAAAAAAAAAGGAAAGAAGGAATGAAGGAGCTGGGGATGGTGGCATACACCTGTAGTCCCAGCACTTAGGAGGCTGAAGCAGGAGGATTATCATGAATTCAAGGCCAGTCTGAACTACATAGCCAGACTCTGTCTCAAAAAAAATCAAACCAAACAAAAAGCAGATGTTTTTTCTGTCTTTTTGTGACAAGGTCTCATATATAGTTGAAACTGGCCTTCAACACACTATGTAGCCCAGACTGGCCTCGAACTTGCAGCAATCCTCCTGCCTCAGTCTCCTGAGTGCTGGGATTACAAGTGTGTGCCACCATGCCCAGCCAAAACAAAGCAGACTTTTATGAGAGATAAAACGCTAAATATATATCAATCTAATAATACTGGATATTTCTGAGTAGTAGAGCTAAGTACTTCAATTTTTTCAATGGCTGTCTTGTTTGTATTGTTTTAGTGCATTTAACAGAGAAATCAACACAATATTTTTTTGTTGTTTTTGACATAGGGTCTTTCCAGATATGGTAGTGTACGCCTGTAGTACCAGCTCTCAGGAGGCTGAGGCAAGAGGGCCCCTGTGAGCTCCAGGCCAGCCTGAGCTACATAGTAAGTTCAAGGCCAGCCTGAACTACATGGTTAGACCCTGTCTCAAAAAAATATGAAAGATGGGGCTGGGGATTTAGCTCAGCGGCAAAACACCTGCCTGGCAAACGCAAGATCATGAGTTCGATTCCTAGTACCGGAAGAAAAACAAACAAACAAAAAAAATATGAAAGATGTCTGAGCTCAGAATATCCTCCTGCCTCACCTTCCTAAAGTAGCTAGTTCAGGCTGACCTTGAACTATGTAGCACAGGCTGGCTTCAGACTCACAGCAATCCTCCTGCCTCAGCTTCTGGAGTGCTGGGGCATGCACCACTTGCCCAGCTAGTAGAGAACACTTTCAAAAGAGATTTTGTATCAGGCTGGGAGGATACCTCAGTAGTAGAGTACTTGTCTAGCATGTGCAAGGCCTTAGATTTGATCCGCAGCATTGCAAGAAAGGAAGAAAACAGGAATTTCACATCACCAGCATATAGGATGGGGGCCGCTGCATGGAGAAGTCAAGTATGTTGATGACTGAAATAAAAACAACTCAGCAGGTCAGAGTATGACCAATGCGCAAGTGTTAAAGAGTAATCAGCTTATATTTTCCATTTCATGGGAGTGCATGCGCAATTTGATGTTTGTGAAATTAAGTCTAAAAATGTTTTGTTCTCTCAAAAAATACAACATAGAAATTCTAAGTGTTAAGAGAATATATTGTCATAGTGTAGATTTTGCGGGGGGAGTTGCAGGGGTTCTTTTTTTTTTTTTTTTTTCTGGTTTTTGAGACTGGGTCTTGTTCTGTAGTCCAAGTCAGCCTTACTAGCCCTGGTTGGTCTCAAACTTGCAGCGATCCTCCTGCCTCAGCCTCCCAAGTACTGGGATTACAGGCATGCACCACCACACCTGACTAGAGTTTTCAAAATTTTAGTAATACATAAAATAATGATGTGTTTTAAAATTAATGGCAGCCTAATTTTGCTGTCTCTCTTTAAATACATTAAACATGAAAGCAAGCATGATGTTGAGCTGCATTCAGGATTGCAGTGATCATATTAACTCTAGTGATAACCACTGTGTTCCTTATACTAACTGAAATTCTGCCTGCACTGTATTAAAAATTTTCCTACTTGGAGATGAAGCACAGCATAACCTGCTGTTTAACAAATACACCCTGTTCTGTGTAGGATCGTGAGTTGGACCATTTATGTTCTGTTCAGAGATAGATACGTAAATGTTCTATTATAGCAAATCTCAAATTGGGCATGGTGGCTCACACCTGTAATCCCAGCACTCAGGGACACTGAGTCAGGAGGATTACAAGTTCCAGCCCAACCTGAGCACCACAGCAATTTAACAAGACCTTGTTTCAAAAATCAGAAAAATAAAAAAGACAGTAGAAATTTATCTCAGTCAGTCGAAAGGCCCTGGGTTCAATCCGCAATAAGCCCCTCCTCCGTAGGAGGGGTGGCCCAAATGACCAGTTAAGCCATGTGTGGTGGCACATGCCTGTGCTCCCAGCACTCAGGAGACTGAGGCAGAGGGATCGCTGGGAGCTGGGAGTTCAAGGCCAGCCTGGGCTACCGTAACAAGACCATGTCTCAAAAAAAAAAAAAAGAAAAAGAAACAAATGCTGGTTTAGACCATATAACCTTACTGCTTTGTGTTTTAACATATTCAGATACTTTTACAGGTTGTATATGTGCTGCTGAAGCCAGCACTACTTCACAAGTTTTTATCTTAAATTAGCTCATTCAAATTTCACAAAATTATGTGAGAAGTTTATGCTGTTTTGCAGGGTAAGTCACATCAAAGATTTCATTGAGAAACACCACGGGTCTCAGAGAGCCCCGCCCTTCTCCCTGGCAACAGCACTGCCTTTCCTCAGATCGCTGGATGAGACGCTCACTCTGGAAGAAGCGGATTTGCGGAATGCAGTCATCATTCAGAGACTCAGAATCACCGCCGAGCCTTTTAGAGAACATTCGTAGTGTTGGTTCTGAGAGACTGGAAGCTGCATAAGCTTGGTGGTTGGGAGTGGACGTGCAGGAGTGGGAGAAAAGAGGAGTCAGGTTTGCTGGACTTTGGACCTAGTGATACTTAATTCTTTGCTGATGAGGGGACTTTTAATAATTACAACTTAGGAAAGTCATGGATGACTGGAAGGTATATTTGTCACTTTTTTCCAAACGGCTACTCAGAAAGAAAAATACACGTATTTTCAAAATATCAATTAATCAACATAAAATAAATAACTACCTTTTGGAATCTTAATATGGGTCAAGCATGGTGGTGCAAGCCTGCAATCCCAGCACGCAAAATGCTGAGGCAGGAGGATCACTGAGTTCAAGGCCAGCCTTGGCTACAGAGTGAGTTCAGGGATAGCCACATGGTGACATCCTGTCTCAAATAAGAGATGGTATAACTTAACAAAAATGTTCACAGCATTAGTAACTCAAATATTTCCAAACAATTGATATTTATCTAAACGTTAGCTATCTCAGAATTATTAAATAGTAACACATTAAAAATTATTCATTGCAGGTTAAAAGCATCAATGTAATTATCCTGTACCACAGATATAATCAGAAGTCTGGCGTGAGTTGGGTATGGTGGTGCATGCCTGTATTGTGAGTTCAAGGCCAGCCTGGGCTACATAGCAAGGCCCTATCTTAAAACAAGACAAAAAAAACTCTAGGATGACCTGTTTTTACCTTAGCACTGTCCAAACCTCAAAGCATTCTCAGTTTTCACTTGTGCTGGGAAGATATATTCAAATATTTATTAGCACCAGTTTATAAGCTGTATTTGCACATAGGAGTAAAATTGTGCAGTTTAGGAGAATGTCAGTATTAATCTGCCTACTTATCTTTTTATACTTTCTAAAAAAAATCCTCTCCAAGAACCCCAATTCATTGTTTCCCTCAGCACCTGAAAATTGGGGATTTAATTTAGCTAACGTTTGGGATTAGCCATTCATTGCTACCATTCACTTAGAATATGAGAGTTCCCGTTTGTGTTCACTAACGGATTATACGTCCTGGTGTAACCAAGGAAAGTTTGCTTTGTATATTAGACTTTTAACAAAACCAGTCTGACTTCAGTCTTTCACTTAGACTAAATCTCCCAGCACTTGGGAAGCTGAGGCAGGAAGGTCACTGTGAGTTTGACACCAGCCTACACAGATGTCAGGGCCAGCCTAAACTTCATAGTGAGACCCTTTCTCAAAAAAAAAAAAAAAAACAGGAAAAAAGAACTTGGACATAAGCTTGAGCTATCTTGCAAATGATCTCTTCAATCAGATTAAAAATAAAGTATACACTGAGTCTGCCAAGGATTACGTGGCATAAAAAACAGTGATGTTCATAGTGTGTTGGATGGATGTTGGAGAAGTTTTGGCCTCAAAACTTTTCAGCGGGTAATGTATAAATGTTATATGCAAAATTCAAAGTTCTAAACTATGTATTTGCTTAAGAATAGTAACTTCGAAGTCAGGCATGGTGCCCTGTGTCTGTAGTCCTAGCTACCGAGGGAAGCTGAGGTAAGAGGATCACTTGAACCTAGAAATTCAGGGCCAGCTTGGGCAACACAGCAAGACCCTGTCTCTTAATAATACAGTGGCACCTTGGTTCATAAACTTAGTTCTCCATGATTCTGGTCACAAACCAAACTGGGTAAGAACCAAATCAAATTTCCCTGTAAGGTCAACATTGAACCTAGCCGTTGAATTTGATTTGGTTCTCATCCAACTCCATTTGCAAACAGAATTGTGGGAAGAATCAAGTTTTTGAATTGAGGTATCACTGTACTTCCAAAACAAGGAGATCCAGTAGGAAAAATAGCATTGCAGTTCGTTTTCCGCAGATGTCTTCAGAGTACAACTGGGGTTTTATCTGCTTCTGTATTCAATGCGTGGCAGTGTCACATGTAACATAGCCCCTGGAAGACATCATTACACTACATTCAAGAGAGAATGAAAAGGAAACCTGTTAACCCTTATTATCCCTCCTGAAAGGGTTTTGGCCTCCCAGATCCCTGCCTGGGTCTCAGGCCCTGCAGTGATTCTTGGGGTCCCAGCCCATAAAGCGGGGAATGCTTCACAGTGATGCGGAAGCCAAGTATGAGAATCACTTGGCAGACTTCAAGGATACCTCTTCCACCACCTGCCCCCAATGTTCTGATCCACGTATCTGGAATGGGTCCCAGAACACTGCATTTGAAACACTGAGTGATTCTCAGGGATGTGTGGAAGGACCATCACCCCTTGGGAGAGCCTGCCTTGAGCTGCCACCCCCAGAGAGAAAGCCCATGTGCCTGTCCTGCTCACTGGAAGACGCCACTGAAGTGGCACTGCTACCTCTTAAGTCTTCGCCTTGTCCCCGCAATTTCCCTTAGGCTGTCCCCCCTTACCCTGCACTGACCCTGCCGTAACCTGCACTTTGTGCATAGCACAGATAATACAGGAGTGTGATATTTGAGTGAAGTTTTTACTGCAGGCTCAGGAATCACGAAAGGGGACTCTGTATATAAGTAGGTGACCCGCCCCCTGCCCCAGCTGCTTTAAGGGTACTTCCTTTGCTCGCTCCCAGCCATTTCGATGGCAGATTGGGAAGAGAGGGAGGACAGAGTGAGCCTTTCCCTTCTGTCCTTTACCTAGGCAATGACGTACCAGACATCAGAGAAAATACTTACTGTCAGTTACATCTGCATAGTGTCAGAGCCCTCTAATGAAGCAGAAATAATGACGTTCTTTAAAAATGAATGATAAAATTAATGAACTTCGTTCAGATGCAGAAAATAGCTTATGATGATTTGTTGGTATATAGTCAGGAATCTATGAAAATGTTCCATCTACACCTATCTTGAAGCATTTTTATTTGCATAGTCAGTATATCGTTTTCCCTGTATTTCTCTAATGGGCCTCTCTTAGGAATGTTTCTGATATACTGACAGAAAAGCCTCTTTTGTTGCTAGGTATGGTGGTGCAAGTCTATAATCCCAGCACTCAGGAGGGTGAGGCAGGAGGATTACTGTGAGCTTGAGGCCAGCCTGGGCTGCATAGTAATATCCTGTCTCAAGAAGATAAACAAAAACCTCCTTTGCAGACTTTTCCAGTTCCCAGTGAGGGGATCCCACAGAGAAAGGCCTGTCATCAGCAATAACCTTCATCTTTTTAACTGTGAAACTTTCGTTATTGTGAATAATCTCAAAGATTTGCTAAAAGGATAATCATCTGATAAAAGCTGTTTACTTGAGGCTGAGTGTGGTGGTATACTAGTAATCCCAGCCCTCAGGAGGCTGAGGCAGGAGGATCACCAGTGAGTTCCAGGCCAGCCTGGGCTACATAGCAAGACTGTCTCAAAAAAAAAAAAAAAAAAGCTATTTAGTTGAAAGTTTAAACACAGAAAGTTGTTAATTAGACATATAGATTATGCAATACATGTTGACTCTAGCAAACATGAACTGAATTTTCCAAGGGAAAGAAAACTTGAAAATAAGCAAACATTTTGAGTGTGGAATACAATTTGTCCTAAGCAGTTGCCTCAAAACTGTCATCGTTCAAGTAGTTAGGGCAGATGTAGAAAAGTACATTTCTAATTTTACAAATTCTAATTTACTGGTTAAAGTACTATGGGTTGTCCAGGTTAAACATAATCTTGCATATTTTTCTCATTCAGTATACTTTCAGTGTTTCAGTGTATTGACAATGTGGTATAATATATCCATTTATTTCAGTGCCTTATTTTGAATGCAATGTTTTGCTAATGGTTGAAGAACTGCTCTCTTAAGGATGAAATACTTTTCATTAAAAGGACCTGTGAAATAATTTACACTTATGACCTAGTTACTTGCGGATGTATTTGTAGTTTTTATTTGGCTTAGTGTGAGAATCAACAAATGTTTACTAGGTGCTGTTGTTGTAATCAGCATTGCTGTCGTTTAATACTCAGAAACGTAAGACTGTGAGATTCTTAGTGCCAGGTTCTATGATTATGTTTGTATTTTAAATCATCCTTTGTGTCCTGAGTTGAACCAGTATGAAGACTTGTCAGTAAGGTTTACTCCTTTGTTCTTCTTCCAATATGCAAACCATTTATGTAAAAAAAAAACGTTCGTCACACTAAATCCTCAAATAGAAATGGCTTATTTGGTACACTAGTTCTTTGTTGTTTTAAAAAAATCATGGCCAAGTGTGGTGGTACACGCCTGTAATCCCAGCATTTGGGAGGCTGAGGTAGGAGGGTCGTTGTGAGTTCTAGACCAGCCTGGGCTACAAAGTGAGCTCAAAAAGGCCTGAACCGCAAAGCGAGAACCTGCCTCAAAAAGACAAAAAATAAATAAAAAAAATAAATCATAATAAAAATTCATGCAATGCAGATATGCTGACATGCTCTTTAAACCAGTGGCCCCATGCAGAGACAGCCAGGCGGCATGTCCATGCCGCCTTTGCAGAGGCCGTGTGGTGCATGCCGTCATTGGGATTTCGAGGGTCTTCCCAAAGACTCGATCCTGAGCCTGCAGGGCCAGCAGGAAGCCATAGCAGCATAAGTGTCGGGGCCTGGTGGTGAGAAGTGCGGTCACTGGGGCTGGGCCTCTAAGGGATGGGTATTGGAAAGCCGGGCGTGGCGGCGGGCCTGGAATCCCAGCACTCAGGAGGCTGAGCCAGAAAGAACACCATCTGTTGGAGGCCACTGGACTACATAGTAAGACTGAGTGTCAAAAAAAACTATAAATAAAGAGCCAGGCATGGTGGCGCACACCTGTAATCCCAGCACTCAGGAGGCTGAGGCAGGAGGATTGTTGCGAGTTCAAGGCCAGCCTGGGCTACAAAGTGAGCTCAAGGCCAGCCTGAACTGCATACTGAGACCCTCTCAAAAAGACAAAAATGTAAATGAAGGGTACTGCCACCCTCTGCCCCTTCTGTCTTTTTGCTTCCTGGCCTCTTCCCACAGTGATCACTGTCTGTCTCATGCAGGCCTAAAAGCAACACCTGCAAAGTTGTGAGCCGAGGTAAACTTTATCTTTGTCAGCTGACCTCTCCTTGGATCCTTTTTTACAGTGACAGAAGGCTACCATGTCTGTAGTTCTCAGTAAAAGCCAGGTGACTCCATTATTTTAATCCTGCTGTTTTATCTCACTGAAATCTAATTTATCTTTTTTATTGAAAACTGGGGACATAACTCAGTGGCACAGTGTCTTGCTTAGCAAGTGCAAGGTCCTGAGTTCAATTCCTGGTACCAAAAACAAAAAGCCACATTAGAGAAACAGACCATCACTTTAGGGTAATAGCTTTTAAAGAAAAATGCTTTTGTGTTCCTCCATCAGACTCACTGTTCTTCTGCAGTCTCAGCACAGTTAGACGTGAGGTGCGCTGCAGAGCGCACTGAGACCCAGCATGAAGGAGACCGGAGCAGGAGCATCACAGGGAGCCCCACCCAGCAATACAGTGAGACCCTGTGCCCAAAAAAGAAAAAGATCGCTGTATGATCTTTTTAGAAGTGTTGGCCAGGATTATAGCTCAGCAGCACAGTGCCTGCCTGGCAAGCACAAGGTCAGGAGTTTGATTCCTGGTACCTGCCCCCCCCCAAAAAGTGTTAATGGTTTTTAGCATAGTATATTTACAGGGTCACATAGCCATCACCACATAATTTAAGCAAATTTTCATCCCCTGTAACTTCCCTGCACCTACTGGTAACCACACCCCGTCCCAAGGTATAGGCAAGAAAACTGTTCTGTCTGTATAACTGCTGGTTGTAGACATTGCAGTGGATGTCGTGAGTGGATGTTTTCAACTAGTGTGTTTCCAGGGCTCATCATTCTTTCTATTTCCCAGTAATAGTCCATTGCATGGCCATAGTGCATTTTCTGTATCCATTCATAACCCAGTGATCATTTGGGTTATTTCTACTTTCTAGCACACATACACACACACACACATATACATATAGATAAAGTCTGCTAGTAAACATTCCTGTTCAAGATTGTATACAGGAGTGGAAGATGGCTTGTTGGACCATATGGTAACTCTGACGTTTTGAGGAACTGCTGAACTTCCAAAGGCTTGCAGTAGTTCTGCTCGCACCAGCAGTGTGGAATTGTGCTTTCTCCACATCTTCCCCAGCACCTGTTAGAGCTGCACTCTTTTTTCAATTACAGCAGCCCTTGTGGACATGAAGAGGCATCTCCTAGTTTTGATTTTACTTCCCTAATGGCATGAGCGTATTTCTGTGCTTATTGCACATCTGTACTGTATCTCCAGAAGAATGTCTATTCCTTGGCCCTTTTTTTAGTGTTTATTAGTTTATTTACATATTTCAATA